CCTTTTATTGCCAGAGGCTCATGGCTTCCCATTGTTGAAACTGCCATCGTTGCTGTGGCAGCACTTGTAAACATTCTCTCTAGGAACCTTGGAGCAGAGCTGCTGAGAGACTGCTAAGGCTTCCTCTGCTACTGCTTCAAAGAAGAATCTGCTCATTTAGGTACTGGGGTTTCTTTGCTAAGGGGAAGATGCCTGAAAAGGGACTTGAAGTGGTTCTGTTAATCATCCAGACCCCAAAGAAGCTAACGGGAGAGACACTTACGAATGATATGCATCCACTGATGGGTGAAGATAAGTTCCTCCCTCCCTTCCTTCCTTCCTTCCTTCCTTCCTTCCTCCCTCCCTCCCTCCCTCCCTCCCTCCCTCCCTCCCTTCCTTCCTTCCTTCCTTCCTTCCTTCCTTCCTTCCTTCCTCCCTTCCTCAGTCCCTCCTCCCTTTCTGGCTTGTTGTTGTTGTTGCTTTGGAGAGAGGGGTCTATGTAAGCCAAATTTGCTGGTTTCAAACTTGCTACGTAGCCAAAAATGGCTTTGGAAGACTCTGTTTCTTTCAGCAGATAGTTCTATTTTCCACCAGCTACAGCTGAGGTGGAGGGGAACTGAGTGGACAATGAAAATATTAAGGTCCAAATGAACATTTGGTCTGTAATTATTACAGGAATGCTTAAAGGGTATGCAGATTTTTTTTGATTGATGGTCACCAGAACTTGGCTGCCTCGTGCAGTGTCTACCATACCCTTGGGACCAAAGATGTTGGAAAAGGAAACAGGGTTGCCTTTCATGAAAGGGGCTTACAGGGAGAATGAGATGGCTCAGTGGATAAAGGTGGTGGTTCCCAGGACTCACATGGTGAAAGGAGAGAAACAACTTCTGCAAGTTACCCTTTGACCCTCACAGACATCCTGAGTCACCCTTAGTACTGTCCCAGTTAAAGAGATCAATGCAAAAACTATGAATTTAAGATGAGACTTACTGAAAGGAATACACTCTGAACTTTATGAAGGTGAGGAACGCTCTCTGGAAGCCTATTTTTGGTTGTTGTTGTTGTTTGTTTTTTTTTTTTTGGTTGGTTGGTTTTTGTTTGTTTTTCAAGACAGGATTTCTCGTGCAGCAACTAGCTCTGTAGACCAGGCAGCCTTACCTGAACTCACAGAGAGCCGCCTACCTCTGCAGCCTGAATACTGAGATTAAAGGCGTATGCCACCATGCCAGGATGGAAGTCTCCTACTTAATTTATATATTTTTTTGCATTTATATCTTTTCCTAGCACTTATATCAGCTGGGTCACAAACGCCTGTAATTCCAGTTCTAGGGGATCCAACACTCTCTTGCAGTTCCCACAGGCTCCTGCACCAGCACAGCACACTTACCTACACTTATGTACACTCATGCAAGGCACATACATACATACATAACATAAAATGAAATAAACATTTTTTCAAGTTATCATACTAAAATTAGGATAGTTGGTCAGTGAAATACAAAGATGTGGCCACAGTAGAGAGACAAATGAAACTTCAGCTTGCTGAGAGTTGTAGTCGTTTGGGCTAGTGGGAGTTGGGGAAAACCAGACTGAAAAGTTGTGGAAGACAGCAACCCTGAGAAGCTGGAAACTTCTCCAGGCTTCCAGTCACTGGTGCCCCATAGAGGAGGGCCACCCTGGGATACAGTTTCCCTCTCACAGGTCTGTCAGCATGCACTTCCTAGTGTATGGCCTCCCAAACACACTAGAGGGCACTAGAGGATCATTTCATATGGACTTCTGTCAGCTAGCCAGTGAAGGAGGAGATAGAAGAGAGTGGGTGTGGAAAATAGCCAGTGCTCATCTCATTCATAGGGCTGTGGTAGTTAAATGAAACACGGCACATTAAATGGTCCCAAATTTGGAGCTTTATTTGTAATAAATGAATGAATGAATAAAAACTCATTCAGTTTGGAAAGACATCTATCACCATTCCCTCCCTCCATTTAAAGATTTGCTAGAAAGAAGGCTGAGCATGGCCAGGTGGTGGTGGTGCACCCCTTTAATCCCAGCACTTGGAAGGCAGAGGCAGGCAGATTTCTGAGTTTGAGGCCAGCCTGGTCTACAGAGTGAGTTCCAGGACAGCCAGGGCTACACAGAGAAACCCTGTCTTGAAAACAAAAAAACAAACAAACAAACAAAAAAGGCTGAGCATGGTGTTGTACACCTTTAATCCTGCAGGCAGGTGGATTTTTTGTGAGATCAAGGCCATCCTGGTCTACACAGGGAGTTCCAGGCCAGCCAAGGCTACACAATGAGACCTGGCCAAAAGAGAGGGGGGGGAGCGGGGCGGGGGGCGGGGGGGGGGGACGGGGGGGGGGAGGGAGGGAGGGAGGGAGGGAAGATTTGCCTGCTAGAAATGATTTCTCAGAAGTGAACAGTTCTGAGTAAAGGGAAGCAAAGCAAGGAAAGTGAGTCCAAGACTCAAAGAGGGAAAGATACATAAAGGGAAAAACTCCCTGGTGGACACATCCCTGTTACGTGAGAGGCCCCTGTCCATAATCCCAAGAAAGCCAATGTTTACATTATCAATAGATGCTGCATGTATTTGGAAAACTTGAGCTGCATTTATGACTTTTTAAAAAGTCTTCAAACAGGAACAAAATTTTTCCTTTTTAAACAAAAGATTTGTTTATTCTTATTTTATGTGTATGAGTGTTTTGCCTGCGTGTATGCTTGTGCACCACATGTGTGCCTGCAGAGGTCAGAAAAGGTGTCAGATCCCTTGGAACTATGCTTACAGACAGTTGTGAGCTTCCAGGTGGGAATCAAACCTTGGCTCTCTGGAAGAGCAGTCTGTGCTCTTAACCACTAATCCATCTTGCCAGCTCCATCTTTTTTTTCCGAGACCAGGTTTCTCTGTGCAGCCCTGGCTGGCCTGGAACTTGCAGAGATCCACTTGCCTCTATCTCTCAAGTGCTGAGATTAAAGATGTGTGCCACCACCACCTGGCCCATTCATTTTTTTTAAAAAACAAAATGTCATTATGTAACTCGAGATGGCCTCCAACTCACAATTCAATTCTCCTACCCTGGCCTTTCAAATACTGGGACAGGCATATGCCATATCACCATGCTTAGCTCAAATGTTCTCCCTCTCTCTGTCTGTGTCTGTCTCTATCTGTGTCTGTCCCTCTGTCTCTCTGTCTCTCTCTCTCTGTCTCTGTATCTGTCTCTCTCTGTCTCTCTCTGTCTCTCTCTGTCTCTCTCTCTGTCTCTCTCTCTGTCTCTCTCTCTCTCTCTCTCTCTCTCTCTCTCTCTCTCTCTCTTTCTCTCTCTCTCCCTCGCTCTTTCTCTCTCTCAATAGGGTCTTGTATAGCTCAGGATGGCCTCAGATCTGCTATGTAGCTAAAGATGATGTTGAACTTTTGATCCCTTGCCTTTTGCTCCCAGGTGGAATTACAGATGTGCCTGAAATTCCACACCTGGCTTATCCATATATTTGGGGGTTTGTTTTGTTTTGTTTTGGGTTTTTTGTGATTGGTTTTGGGGTGTTTGTTTTGGTTAGGGAGACACTGTCTTGGTATACAGCCCTTAGGCAGACTAACGTACACTGTATAGCCCAGACTGGCCTTGAACTTGTAGCAATCCTCTTATCTCAGCCTCCCAAATGCTAAGATCACATGTGTTTGCCACTATTCCCAGCTTTAAGTCTCAGACCATAAACAAGCATCATCTTAAATGGTGCAAAAACAGAAAGCTATGCCCACTGGATTGGATATATAGGAGAATACTCATCACCTTGACTTCCATGTGACATTTTTTAAAGTGTTAACCAAAGCTAATAAACATAAGAGATAAATATGTTCAGGAAAAAAGATGGTAAGAGTAATAGTTTCTTTGAAATAATACAATTATATACCTGGAAAAGTCAAGATGGAAACACCAATCTGCTGCCATGCCTCTTGACTCATTAACATGTTCATGTGCGTGTGCGCTGCTAGAGATGGAATCCAAGGCTTCCCAAGGCTAGGTAAGTGTTCTACTACTGAAATATGCTTTTATTCCCACAATTCACTACTTAAAAAAAAACTCATGTGCCAGGAGCACTCAGGAGTCAGAGGTAGGTAAGAGCTCTGAGTTCAAGGCCAGCTTGGTCTACAGAGTAAGTTCCAGGACAACCAGGGCTACATAGAGAAACCCTGTCTCAAAAAAAAAAAAGTCATGTAATGCTCTTCCAGAAAATCTAAGTTTGGTTTCTAGCACCCACATCAGGTGGGTTATAAACCACCCACAACCACAAACTCCAGGGAAATCTGAAGCCCTTTTTTTGACATCTCCAGGCACCTGCATCCACATGCACAAACAAACCCACATACATATAATTAAAAAATAGAATCTCACAAATAGTCACATGCACTTAGTTGCTCAAAGCATGGACTGAGGTTCTTTTCGAGTCAGTATTTGGAGTTACTGTTCAAAGAAGCTAGGAATTCCTCTTCTATATTTTGATTTAAATTTTTACAGTTTGAAGAATGGAAAATTCTTGGTTTTCAGGAAATATCCATCTCGGCAAGCAGATAAAATGGGTCAGCAGTTAAGGTCTCCCTCCCATCCTTCCTCCCCAGTCTCTTCTCAAGAACCAGCAAGTATTGCCTGTGGGTTTGATCTTCCAGGAGACAATGTATAGAGACTGGAGAGATGACTCGGTGCTTTGTTTGTTTGTTTGTTTGTTTGTTTGTTTTGGCCCTGTTGCTCTTATAGAAGACCCCAGTTGGATTTCCAGCATCCACAAGGTGGCACAAAACAATCAGTAACTCCTGTTGCAGGGGATCCAGTGCTTTCTCCTAACCTCTGCAGGCACCAGCCATACACTCAGTGCACAGATATGCAGGCAAGCAAAATATCCATACACATAAATAACTAAAAACATTCTTTAAAAAGGAGAGTGTCTACTTAATGTGAATATATTTGTGGTCTGTAATCCTGTACATATAGAGTAAATTCTTGAGTTGCTTTTTTTTTAATCCAAAGGAAATAAAAATGAATAACAAAAAAAAGCTCCCAAACCAGAAGGCGAAGATTGTGGAGAACACTAGCACAGCCAAGACAAAGAAACCGGAGGCTCCAGAGCCCAAGAATGTTACAGAGCCAAAAGACAGTAAATCCGTAGAGGACCCGAAGAAGCCTGTGACAGATCAGAAAGAGAAGAAAACGGTGACCATCATTGCAGAGCCAAAGGACAAAAAGAGTGTGACGGAGCCAAAAGAAAAGAAGACTGTGACGATCTCAGATCCCAAAGACAAGAAACCTGCAATAGAGAAAGACAAGAGGACAGTGAGATTTGTGACAGAGGTAGAAGACAAGAGGATTGTGACCGACACAAAAGAAAACAGGATTGCATCAATAGACACAAAAGAAAAGGTGCTAATAGTGCCTGAAGTTAAAGAGAAGAGAGTGCAGCTGATAGACCCAAAAGAGAAGGTGGTTGTTGCGCCCGCAGCGCATGTTGCGCCCGCAGCGCATGTTGCGCCCGCTGCGCATGTTGCGCCCGCTGCGCATGTTGCGCCCGCTGCGCATGTTGCTCCCGCTGCGCATGTTATTCCCGCTGCGCATGTTGCTCTTGCTGCGCATATTGTTCCCTCTGCGCATATTGTTCCCTCTGCGCGTATTGTTCCCTCTGCGCGTATTGTTCCCT